ATATGTAATGTGTAATATTACATATTGCTACATATGTACGTTACATATGTTGCAAGAAAACCTCGTATCTCCATTGGCAATGTCTGTTGTCCTTTACATAATCTTTACATTTCATGATGAATGGAGCAAAGGAAATGTCCCAAAATGGCATGGAAAGACATCTGATTCCATTGATTTACATCAAAAGTAAAGTGAGTTTTTTGCTTCTGCTGTAAAGTTATCATTTTGGAGATACGAGGTTTTGTTCCGACAACAGCGATATAAATCTACGTAACATGTAACATAACTAATGTAATATTTTCTGACCTTTTTTCACCAATGACCTGGATTGTTTTAACCACTTGTTCATTTTAAATATCGCTGCTGTCAGAACAAAACCTCATATCTCCAAAATGGTAACTTTACAGGAGAAGCAAAAAACATACTTTACTTTCAATGTAAGTCAGTGGAACCAGACGTCTTTCCACTTCATTTTGGGCCGTTTATTTTGGTCCGTTCTTCATGAAATTTACAACCAATGTAAAGGGCAACACATATTTTCAAATGATGCCATGTGCTTTGTGTTAAAAAGCTCTTTGTTTATTATTATCACACAAAAAAAACATGATGAAAAGGTTTTAACATTTTATTTAATATTTCATGTCCAGGACGTTCCAAGAGTTCAGAAACTTTTCCATGCAACTTTACATACAGTCAACACAGGAAAAGTTCAGTGCTTGCTTTGTGTCTTTTTATGCTGGTCATAATAAATTCATTCATAAAGTTCATTTTCCAAAAACTCTCCAAATGTCCAGTATACTGGACACTGAAAATATGAAATATTTCCCAGTAAACAACAAAAAAAGGTCTGTATTTTGTTGTTTAGTATGCAGTACAGTACATGTTACATAGCAAAACGTTTGTTGCGTCCAGTCTTGGAACTGCGGAGGATAACGCAATGATATTAAGGGGAAAATGCACCCAGAACAAAGTGTGCAGGATTTGGATCAGGATGTGATGGGTTAAGGTTCACTGGTTGAGCACTGCGATCAAAATTACAATAAAGACCCAGTTCCGGAATTTTCGGGCGTGTGCAAGTAAACAGAATGACAACAGGAATAAACAGTATTTATGCTGAGCAGCAACTACCCCAGCCAGATTTCCAGGAACTATCTACTGTTGTGAGCAATAACTGGACGTATAAATCACAGCACTGGTAGCGAACGTTACCTTTGAATGAAATGCATATTGATAACTTTTATTTTGAAATACTGTTACTGTAGCATTCACAAAGCAAGCACTACAACTAGGAGCAGGCTTACTGTTACAAAGTACACCTGATACATGCCTATTTGGCAGTCCTATATCTTAGTAATGGTCAAAGGTCAGTTTTCCAAAGAAATCTGCAGGGATATTTTTCCACACTTCCAAAGTTCAGTCTTAGAAGTTGGCTCCATTTTCTGCTTCTCACAGTCCAAGTAATCCCAAAGAGGTCTGGACTCTGGGGTGTCCAGTCTATCTGAGAATGCCAGCACCTTCTTTTGTCAAAGGTCATGATGTGTTCTGTCATTAAAAGGTGCAGTAATATAAAACTGTGCGTTAAGCAGATATCATATTTTCATATAGCACCACAGTTTGCACAGTAAGAGTCTTCTGACGTCAGCGACTGTGTGAGTGCATTGCATAGTTTCGTTATTTCAAAGCTTCACTCTCAAAAAATGGTTCTTCAAGGGTTCTTTTGTAAAGGAAATGGTTGTATTTAGAACCATGGGTCCTGTATAGAACCATTTCATGCTCATGTTCTTTGCATGGTGAAATCGTTCTTCAGAATGTGTTGTATATGGTTCTAAATTGAACCTTTTTGAAAATGGTTCTGTTTAGCACCAAAACGGGTTCTGCTATTGTTACAGGGAGTGCGTTTACATGCACTTAATAATCCGATTACTGCAGAAAATCAGATTTCGCCGGTAATCAGATCAACATGTTTACATGCACCTGAGTAATCAGGTAATGGGAAACTCCACGTCTGCGTAAGTCAGACAATAATCAGATTTCTGCTTTGCAACCAGCCAATAAACTCACAGAGGAAGACGTGACGTAAATGTAACATAAAACTTCATGCCACGTTTATTTTTAAACATCGCGCCACTTTACCTGAAAATATGAACATACATCATCTAGAAGATGAAGAATATTCAAATCCTTTATTTCGTGTTTGGTTTCAGCGCCACTCCAAATTGTTTCGCTGCGTCTCGCGACATCCACCGTCTGATCTCACGCATGCGCAGACTGAGAAATCCGAAAGAAATCAGAGTAAGAGTTCGCATGCACTGAGAAATCTGATCACTGAGCGGAGTATGGTGTTTACATGACCATTTGAATAATCGGATAACTGCAGATATCTGATTATGATCGGATCATTGAGTGCATGTATACGAACTCAACGTCAGGCTTTTAACAATTGAAGAACCCTTTTTGGTGCTATATAGAACCCTTTTCAAAAGGGTTCTATATAGAATCATACACAACACATTCTCCAACAATCTAAAGATACCTCATGACTCTACATAGAACTATTCTTTTTACTAAAGAACTCTTTTTAAAGAGTGTATAATTGTAAGAATGTATATGTTGCTGCTGTCAGAACAAAACCACGTATCTTCATTGACGTTTTTCAGTTTTTGGCATAATTTGAAAATGTCTGTTGTCCTTTACATTGTATGTAAATTTCATGACGAATGGACTAAAAGAAATGACCCAAAATGACTTGGAAAGACGTCTGGTTCCATTGACTTACATTAAAAGTAAAGTAAACTTTTTCCTTCTCCTGTAAAGTTACCATTTTGAAGATACAAGGTTTTGTTCTGACAGCAGTGATAAGTGTAAGTAAAATATTTGACTTCTGCCAGTTTTCCAAAAATTCTACATAATTCAGTCACTGTGATGTAAACAAAGTCACAAAGTTATTCAGAGTGGTCTAATGTTCATTAAAGGGAAACTTAGGCCTACTCACTCAGATTTTATTACAGTGATAGGAACCAGGGGTTATAGTTTCTACAACATGCTCTACTCATTTTATTTTCTATCCAAAATAACCAGTCAACCTAAATATTCCATTCTATAGTAATAAATCAAATATGTTTTCTTTGGTAACTATTTTGCCTGACAGCGCTCCACATGTCTGTCTCCACTAAGGCATTTGTCAGAGACAATAGGCAACATATTCATGTCTATTTTACTTAACATCTTTCTGTGAGGTTGCTCTTATATGCGTTAAAAGGTTTTGGACGTCTACTTTCAAACAATGGCTATCAATATCCTACATATAGGCCCAACACTCTGACGTGAATGTGAAAAAAATGTGTTTTGGATTATTACTTTTATTTCGAAACTGTCATAAAAAAATCACATAATGTTAAGCAGCAAAAATCTTAGTAAAGCAGGATGATGTAGATAATCATGGAACACAGCAATAATTATTAGACGTATTTCTGTATAGTAGTATGAAGTATGTGTTTCTATATACAGGCTGTGGTCTGACTGCTCTGATCTCACACTAGAAATTTAAAGCCTATACTTAAGGTCAATTGACAGACTTTTTGAAATTGTTTAAGGACTTAATTTCTTTAAGTCCTGAGGGCCACCTATATTTTATCAGAATTTATTTTTACATGACCATTTTCCAAACTTGCTATAGCTTGGAAATAAACAAGCATTTTTTAGTTACTGTGCCTTTAAGAGTGATATAGCATAACAACAACAATACTACTATTACTACTGGGTCATTCTACAGAAATGTCTATATTTTTATATTTGTGTTCCTAGCATTTACAGATATATTACACTTGAAAAACATGTTAGGGTTACAATTTTTTACATTTTCAAATAACATTTTAACATTTACACCTTCTTGATTCATCAATTTAGCAATATTGGTTTTTAAATATTGGTTAGCACCACAGAAGTGAAGAGAAAAACACATTTTTCTGCAATTTTAACTACAATAATCTATACATGGCTATGAAATATATAAATTAAATGACATAAAGAAAACAAATGTCAAATTAATATTATAAAATATATAATGAAAGTTGGGGTCCCCAGGAGTCGTGTCACTGGTGTTACCATAACAAAAAATCTCTTATTTTGAAATAAAAATCACACTGATGAGATCACTTGACTTCCTTTTAACTAATTTCTGACGATCTATGAGGAGAAGCACATAGTGAGTCTTTCAGTAATTTGAAATTTTCTCATTTAGCTCATGATTTAAGATTCATATGAAGCTTTCAGCTGAAGTCACTGGTGTGACTGACTTAATTTTTTTCTGAGGCAATTGTAAAAAAAAATAGAATACAAATAGATCAAATTACATATTTTAGTGGATATTCCATGATTGACAACATGTGGTTTGATGCTCTGTAGCAGCCATAACACCATCACTGGTGTTAGTGTCTCTGGTGTTACCTTTCTCATGTGTAACACCAATGAGGATTGGTAACACCAGTGACACCTATGGAGAGATAGAAAAGTGGACGTTTCTGTAGAATGACCCTACTGCTACTACTACTACTACTACTACTAATAATAATAATAATAATAATAATAATAACACATGTAGCAGCACAGTTCTTTCCAGACAGGTGATACAGTTCAGTTACAGTGATAAAGGAAAATAAACATAAGGTTAGAAATGCACTTTTATCACTGTTACAGTTTTAAACGGCTGCCCTGTATTGTGCCTCACCCAAAACACAGCACTCACTAAAACACTCCTTATAACCTCAGTGTCAGTGGGCGGGCCTAAACTACTGTAGGCTGAATAATATATATGTAAACATGTTGGCGTCACAAAAACACCAAACTCTATATTTCCATGTATTTCCATGTTTACACCCCACATTTAGCTAAAAAACTATTCCAGGCCCTTTTAGCCACAGAAGTGCTCAGTGTAGCAGCTCGTTGCGGTCCGTGTACCTGATGAAGGGTGACAGAAATGGTGCACTGTCACTTTAAGAGTGAGCGCGCTGTGCGGATATTTAGTCCGCCGAGAGCGCAGCGCTCGGCACAACACGGAGCGGCGAGCTGTCCGAGGAAACTCGTTTTCCTGGCCAAAGAGGGCAAAAATTCGCCCCGAGTGACTTTATCCTTGAACTTCTGAGGGAAATTCGGGGTCGATGAACGACTGTAGCCTGTTGTTGACGTGTTTCCCGCGAGTTCTTTACCGTTTCGGCCGGGCTGTTTCCGTCGTTTGACACCAGGAAGCGAACAGGTGAAACACACCTGTTCACAGTCCGCTCAGGACAGCCATGAGTGTCATCTGAGGAGAGGAACGGAGGTGAAACCACCGAAATACTGGCTCAAATTCGGCTCGTGGTCGTGTTTTGAGTGCCGAATGAGCAGCATGTCCTCCTCCGCGGTGGAGTGGAAGCCCTCCTGACCTCGCTGACGGCAGTAAGACGAACTTGACTCGCTTCTTTTTGTTGTTGTGTTTGTTTTCCGAAGTCTCTCTCAGCCCCTTAAACCCTGTGGGGAACGGGAAAGGGAAAGGGAGCAGAAACGGGACCAAAAAAATAAGGTTTAATGGGAAACCAAGTGGAAAAACTGACCCATTTGAGTTACAGCGAAGTTCCCACGGCGGACCCGAACGGATACGAGCCGGAGGACGACTGTCCCCGGATCGGCGTGTCGTACATTTTTTCCAATGACGACGAGCAGGAGGACAACGACGTGGAGAAGGATGACGAGGGGAGCCAGTACGACGGCAGGAACGAGTTGGAGTGCGCCGTGTTTTACCGCGACGAGTGCGTGTACGAGAGGAACCCCAAGTCCATCGAGATGGCCACCCAGCCCTGCGAGAACCTGCTGAACGAGTGCAAAGCCGGTGACCTGCTGGAGTTCGTCTCGGCTGGCCAGTATCCACACTGGGCCGTGTACGTGGGGGACTTCCAGGTGGTCCACCTGCACCGGAGCGAGATTAAGGTGGACTTTCTCGTGGACGCCAGCCAGGGCAAACGGGGCAGAATCGCGAACGAGTTGTACAAGTTCCGGCCCCTGCGCCCGGACGCTGTGGTGCAGGCGGCGATGGACCAAGTCGGAGCCAAAGATGGTGATCTGTGCTGGAGGAACTCTGAGTGTTTCGCCGCCTGGTGTCGCTTTGGCAGGCGGGAATTCAAGACCGGCGGCGAGATCCGCATCGGCAAGCAGCCGTACAGGATGAAGCTGCAGCTGAGTGAGAAGAAGAGCCATGTGTTGGAGTTCCAGAGCTTGGAGGACTTGATCATGGAGAAGAGGAGGAACGACCAGATAGGACGAGAGGCGGTGGTGCAGGAGTTGGCCAACCATTTGAACTGCAGCGAGGAGATCGATAGCCATTATGGTTGTAACTGATGAGGCAAGTGTTTCCCAAACTTCCAGCCCTGGAGGCCCTACCTGAAGCCCTACCTGCTTGTTTTCTGCTGATTCACACCTGACTCAGCCCAAAGAAGGACTTGATCATGAAGTAATGTATGACTCAGGTGGAGGAGAAGCACAGAACTGTGAAATGCAGGTGGAGTACAGTCAGTGCATAACCAGGATCTCATAGGCTCCAGTACAGAGAGAGAAAATAGGCCTTAGAGATGATCATTACCTTTAATGAAGTAAAAGAAAGTATAATTTGCTTTCTTTCCTCCTGTTATGTCTCAACCAAGGTTGTATATTATTAAGTTATGTAGAGGAAAACATATAGCTCACGATTTTCAGTTTGATCCATGAAACTGGGCTTATGATTCGAATAAGTTATGACTACACTCGTATTGTTGTCGCCCAGCTTGCTAACAGCACTAAAGCTGGGAGGCAGGAAGAGTGATGGAGTGATGTGGTGGTCATGTTGAAACAGTGCAGTTGCATAATTAATAAAATGTCCGTTCTTCACAATGCATTGTCACAGTTTTGCGTTATGATATTACGACTGTACGATGCATTGTTACACCACTATGTAGTCCCCCATGAGTCATGGGCGTAAAATAGCATAAAGAGTGATATAAGGGAGCCAGTATAAACTGTAGTGGGCCCGGACGCTGTGGGGCCACCTGCACTGCCAGTCCTGGTCCTGGGGTGACCTGCATATTGTCGCTGTTCAAAGTAAAAGAAGCATCTCCCAGAATATCCAGGCAATTATGAAGCATTGCTATTGGTCCAGTTATCATGACACAATGTAAAGTGCAACTAAAAGCCGCAAAAAAAAAAAATTTTTTTGGGCAGTGACAGTATGCTGGTGTTATCCCTGCTCTGACAAACCAGATCCATCTAATTAAGAGTTTTACCAAATTTACAAGGGCGTGTTCGAGCAGGGAAAACACTAAAACCCGCTTCTAAAAGGACTGTTTAAAGTTCAGGTTTGGGAACCACTGAACAGGGGATTATTTCACAAAGCAGGGCTTCTCAGTAAAGCTGGATAAACCAGCCTTATCCAAAGTGTTGGTTGTCCAGTAGGAATGCTCCTTAAATTATCTGGCTAACAGAGAAAGCTTGCTTTGTGGAATTGAGTTGGGAAATGCTGGCTTCTGGGTTTAGATCAGATGCAGTCCTTTGGGACTCTCGTTTGTCCACCTGAGCCAAGTAATTAAGGGCTGTAGAACAGCGTTTCCCATCTTCAGTTCTGTAGGCTCAACCTGCGTTACTCATTTTTGTGGTTTCTCTGTTTAAATGCAGCCCAAGTAGGACTTGATAATGTGCTATTAGATATATATAAGATAAGGCACTGGGAAAACACGCCATCATGCAGTGTAGACTGACCACAGGCCCGGAGTTGGGAGGCACCTGTGTAGTTAAAAGTGAAGGGTTTCCGTGTGGGCAGTTTGTACAGAGATGCCCTGGTTTAGTCATTGCTAAAGGTCGATGACTAAAAGATTCCAAGTTCTCGGCTGAGTAGGAAACTTTTTTTTATACGTTAGTATATACAGCAGAAATATATGCACCTTTTATAAATCAGACACTTTTCTACTCATTTAAACGCTCCTTATTCTTTCAGATTTTCGAAGGCAGTGAAGTTCTATTGTGCTGAACACTGACAGCCTTTTCTTTAAGGCCTGTGAAGCATCTAATCCTGCGTTTATTTGGAAACAGTTTGTGTCATTGTTATTTTTGTATGCAGACCCATAGCGCAGTCCGTCTCAATGGATCAATAAAGCATGTGTTTATTTTCACTACTCAATAGTTCTTATTTCTTGTTAAGCTCATGTTTCTGCTACCATTTTGATCATGTAGTGGCCTAAGAATGTTCACATTGTCTTTTAACCTGCTTATCATCTGTTGAGAAAGTAATGCAGAGATGGTAAATGCAGCCAAAGGGTGTATTTTTACCTTTTTAACTTCTTGGAACCACCAGTGTTTCTAAAACGCACACGTCATATTCTTAACTTCATAGCTTTCATATTTCAAAAAGTGGGTGTCGTATGAGAGCTGTAACTCTCTTCTCTCCAGTCAAATAGATGGGTACTGTAATTTAAGTTTATAATAAAAGAAGCTGAACTCACTTTTTTTTTTTTTTACTGAAAGTCGACCCATTTTTCCACAAATCTGGGCTATAAACTATAAACAGATGGCGTTTCTTCAGTGATCTGCTCTGTAAAAATTATTTTTATAAAATAACACAAAGAGCGTCTAAGATTTTTGGCTTTCAGCAGTAAATTGTAAGAATATAGGAATATGTTTATGATCATAAAACATTTACTGTTCGTTTGAGGGGAAGTTTTACATTTACATTTATTTCATGCAGTTACTGAATGTTATATGTTAAATGTTATATTTACTAAAAGGATATTGCATCTGAATCTAATGTACGCAGCACTTGGAACATATTATGGTGCAATTCAGCACCTGGAGCCATACACAGTCAAGTGTATCAGTGCTTGTTGGAGTGCAAGTTTGGATTGGATGATGTTTTGATATTTAGAAAAGAAACATTAAACACAGAGTTTCCAGTTTATCAGGTATACCTACTTCAGGTGTACAAATTGCTGATGTTTGCTCCTCTGTGGCTGAAATAAACAATCAAAATTTACATTTGTTATCCCTTACCCTGTCCGCTATATATATATATATATATATATATATATATATATATTATATTTGGCTGGTGGACCATTCTCAGCAAAGCTGGTACATGTGGCATTACTGGGTTTTTACAAGCCTCAGCGTCACTGCAGAGTTGTGTTAAAACCTCCAGCCAACAGTGTTCTGACCACTGATAAAAGGCGGGAAGATGACTAACACATGTTGTGCGTGGAGGAAGATGAGCTATATTGTGGTGACTATATTTTGGTTTTCAAAAGAAGAGGACACGGGCCAGGAGCGGCATGGGGCAGAGTGTAGAAAGCAAATGTCAACATGAAAGCAAAGCCAACTCAAAGACATTTTAGGCAATTTTAGCACTCCCTGACTGATGCTATGTTTAGGTCTCAAAAAGAGGATGGGGGCCCATTTCCTTACCTAAAATATCGTAAAGAAAATGGCGGTGAACTTCGTTGTGCTTGAGGGCTTGTTATACCACCTAATGCCACAAGTAGTACCACACTTAACCATAAGCATTTCCTTCAAGCGGAAATTTAAATGCATTACTTCTCTTATCTCTTTATGATCAAACAAGCAGTTGGGAAGTTATTTTTATTACTGCCGATATGCTCAGAAAAGCTTATTGTGACATTGTGCTGTAATTTATCACAATAATGATAAATATTGTTGTATCGCCCAGCTCTCCTGTACCACAGTGGTCTGATCCTGGATATCGGCCTTCCTGCAGACTTTAGCTCCAACCGCAATCCATCTACTTACTGTGTTCAGAAATCCTTGATTAGCTGAATTGGAGGTGAAACCTGCAGGAGGGTAGATCTCCAGGAGGATGGTTGGTGACCACCAACAATGCTGAACACCAACCAAGCATACCGATAAAGTAGCTGTACTGACAAAGCTTTCTCTCATTTTGGCATTAGTGAGAAGCATTTCAGACGTCTGTGCAACTATTATTAGAGGAAAAGAATGACAGACTAGGAATTTGTTTTCTGGGACACGACTAACACTTTGCAACCTTTGCAAAAATCATATCACACTTTTCAAAATGTTTTTGACAGCCCTGGACTTCAAGGGCTCATTAGAAACAAGTCCACACATAAAACTAGTAAACTGGGAGACTTTGTTGTGTGAAGTTGTTGAAAAGGAAGGCAAAGCATTAACAGAGTACTTTTGTTCTGCTTGTGGAAAAAAATTTTAGGGCTGTTTCGGTTCGTTCAACTGAGACTGCATTAAGAAACTAGCGAATAACACAGCACAGGGGAGGCGGGCCTCAGTGTTTTCCATCACACCTGAGCCCACTTATCAGCTTACACTCAAATATGTGAACCGATCAGGCATAACATTATGACCGTTATGATGAGTAATACATTGAAAAAAAAAAAAAAATTAAATTTTTTTGTACAAGCCAAATTCTAGTTTTAAATTCAGCAAATGAACAGTAATTGTGCATTAAAATGTACAGTAGTGTGTTCTCTGTAGAGGATGTGTAACATACTTACACCGATCAGCCATAACATTATGACCACCTCCTTGTTTCTACACTCATTGTCCTTTTTATCAGCTCCACTTACTGTATAGGTGCACTTTGTAGTTCTACAGTTACAGACTGTAGTCCATCTGTTTCTCTGCATACTTTGTTAGCCCCCTTTTACCCTGTTCTTCAGTGGTAAGGACCCCCATGGACCCTCACAGAGCAGGTACTATTTGGGTGGTGGATCATTCTCAGCACTGCAGTAACACTGATGTGGTGGCGGTGTGTTGGTCTGTGTTGGCTGGTATGAGTGGATCAGACACAGCAGTGCAGCTGGAGTTTTTAAACACTGTGTCCACTCACTGTCCACTCTATCAGACACTCCTACCTTGTCAGTCCACCTTGTAGATGTAAAGTCAGAGACGATAGCTCATCTGCTGCTGCACAGTTTGTGTTGGTCATCCTCTAGTCCTTCATCAGTGGTCACAGGACACTGCCCACAGGACGCTGTTGGCTGGGTAGTTTGGGTTGGTGGACTGTTCTCAGTCCAGCAGTGACACTGAGGTGTTTAAAAACTCCAGCAGCACTGCTGTGTCTGATCCACTCAGACCAGCACAACACACACTAACACACCACCACCACGTCAGTGTTACTGCAGTGCTGAGAATGATCCACCACCCAAATAGTACCTGCTCTGTGAGGGTCCATGGGGGTCCTTACCACTGAAGAACAGGGTAAAAGGGGGCTAACAAAGTATGCAGAGAAACAGATGGACTACAGTCTGTAACTGTAGAACTACAAAGTGCACCTATATAGTAAGTGGAGCTGATAAAATGGACAATGAGTGTAGAAACAAGGTTGTTATGCCTGATTAGTGTATATGCATATGCACTGTAAGCAGTCTCATGCAAAATCAAAAAATACTTTATTTTGTAAGTTCAGTGCAAGATTTTATTCTAGGTTAATTTGGACCGTTCCTATTGGACGGAAATTTGTACACAGCGTAAACACCAGCTAGAGTTTCCAAAATATGGAGATACGAAGTTTAGTTCTGACAGTGCGGATATGCTACATTAGAGTTCATTGCCCTACATGCAGACAAAGGAAACACCAGCATATGTGACAGGAAATAAAACAACATAAAGTGTTTTGGAGAGGTGTTGTGTCACCGCAAGCTGCGAGAACAGTTTCAGTGCACCTCTGCATAGATTCTCTGGAGCCTCAGGAACTACACTAGCGTCACAGTCACTGAAAGTGTGCTTTCAACCACAATTTCCAACCCTGTTTACTGAAGTCTTTCCCACAGGCCTAAATGTAGATGTCGCTTTAGTCACTCGCTGGTTAAGCAGTCTTTATGCCTGAAGCTCCTGCCCCTAAAATGAACCCTCTCTCAAAGTCACTTAGATCTTTTGTTCTTGCCATCTTGATCCAAAACCAAGGTCAGCTGGGCCTTTTCAGCATCACACCACATGTTTAATTGCTTTATTTAATGATGCTGGAAGCATCACTTGTTATATTTCTCCACTCATTTATTCAGGTTTTTCCTTTGTCACTCATCAGTACATTACATAACATGTCAATGCTGTCACATCAAAACTTGTTTTATTGTTCATTTTTAAAACTGTTTGACTGTGAAGTTTTCTACATAACTCAATCATAAAGATGTAAACAACCATTCAGGGTGGTTTGATGTGAAATAGGCCTGTAAATCGCTGTTGTCGGAAAAAAACCTCATATCTTCAAAATGAACTTTACAGGACAAGGAAAAAACCTACTTTACTTTTAATGTAAGTCAATGGAACCGGACGTCTTTCCAAGTCATTTTGGGCCGTTTCTTTTAGTCCATTCATTCTGAAGTTTACAAACAATATAAAGGGTAACAGGAATTTTCATATTGAGTCAAAAACACAAAAAGGTCAAAAATGGAGATACAAGGTTTTCTTCCGACAACAGCGATACGTTCATAGCAGTAGTGATAGGAACCAGACGTCAGAAGCATCTAATACCTCTAATAGCTACCTCATCTCACGTCAATACTAACAAATATGTCGTCTTATGCCTGAGGCAGTGTTTACCATAGTTGTGATATAATCTTTTGGCCTAAAATTCATGGTGGAGAGGTGCATGCAAGGCCGTCGTAAGATGAAATAGTCCCCAAAGAAAACATATTATTTGGATTAATCATTATTTTTTCATCAGCAACATTACATACAAAACCTCAGAAGGCATGTGGATTCACTGGTGGTAAATAAAATGACTACATTCGTGTTGCTGAGATGACAGTGATGATATATAATCTTTTTTTTCAGTATATATTTGGGTGCTGCCGTGTTCTTCCATGACCTGAGATTGACGCCCCTGATCTAGCAGTCAGCACTCTTCAGGGATCTTGCTGTGAGGAGCTGCCAGCGAGACACGTTAGAAGGCAGAATGTCGGACTAGCTTGCATACACTGGCTTCGTGACACCAGGTTGAAGATTCCCAAAGCTGGCGCAATCTGTAATGTGACGTTGCCTAAGGAGGTCTCTGTTTACCCGAAGAAGAGAGGATTTATCCACTGCTGCTGGAAAAGTTGACTGTGTTCCGAAGATAAGATGTACAGATACTAAGAACAGATAACAACTGCTCTGAGAAGTGTTTTCAAACTAAAAGTCTTAGTGAGATTTGAATCTCAGTTCCAGCCACTTTCATTTGGTACCAGATGTGTTTATATATTGTGTAGGATCAGCCTCATAGTCACCCACAGCATAGTTTCATCTTTATTTCAATTAACATTAACATTCTGGGGTCCCTTTCTCATTAAACTGTAACATATAAATTAAGAAATGTTTTAAATCTACGCCTATTGTCCATTTTATCAGCTCCACTTACTATATAGGTGCACTTTGTAGTTCTACAGTTACAGACTGTAGTCCATCTGTTTCTCTGCATACTTTCTTAGCCCCCTTTTACCCTGTTCTTCAGTGGTCAGGACCCCCATGGACCCTCACAGAGCAGGTACTATTTGGGTGGTGGATCATTCTCAGCACTGCAGTAACACTGACATGGTGGTGGTGTGTTAGTGTGTGTTGTGCTGGTGCGAGTGGATCAGACACAGCAGTGCTGCTCTGCACAGTTTGTGTTGGTCATCCTCTAGTCCTTCAACAGGACACTGCCCTCAGGACGCTGTTGGCTAGATATTTTTGGTTGGTGGACTATTCTCAGTCCAGCAGTGACACTGAGGTGTTTAAAAACTCCAGCAGCACTGCTGTGTCTGATCCACTCGTACCAGCACAACACACACTAACACACCACCACCACGTCAGTGTCACTGCAGTGCTGAGAATGATCCACCACCCAAATAGTATCTGCTCTGTAAGGGTCCATGGGGGTCCTGACCACTGAAGAACAGGGTAAAAGGGGGCTAACAAAGTATGCAGAGAAACAGATGGACTACAGTCTGTAACTGTAGAACTACAAAGTGCACCTATATAGTAAGTGGAGCTGATAAAATGGACAATGAGCGTAGAAACAAGGAGGTGGTCATAATGTTATGCCAGATCGGTGTAAGTATGTTACACATCCTCTACAGAGAACACACTACTGTACATTTTAATGCACAATTACTGTTTATTTGCTGAATTAAAAAAAAAAAACTAAAATTTGGCTTGTACAAAAAAAAATGAATATTTATATTTTATTTTTTTTCCAATGTATTACTCTGCCAATAAATAAAAGTTGTGCACTAAAAAGTGCAGGAAAATGCCTTTTTTAAGTTTGTCCCCTGGTAGATCTCTGCCACAAGTGGCCCAGATCTGTTTTAAGACATGTGGTCCACTTTTGTCTTACATGCATTTACAAGATAAGTGTTTCTATGAAAGTGGCCAGTGAGTGCCCATCTGTAGCCTATTGAACATAAGCACATCAGAATGGTAAATACATATACCTGAACTATTTGATTCCACAGGACTTTCCCATTGTTGCTCACATTTCTTCAACCGCATAAAACTCAAAAGGTGAGACATTACAAAGAGTGAAACAGAAAACTGAAGAGACGCTTGTTTTTTTCATCACTTTATAGGCTGTATGGAATGAATGTGAATGAATGTAATGGGCAAAACTGTTGTCATGGGGATGAAGACTAAGACACATGACCAGCATTCAGAATTTACAGTCAATCTCCCACCTGAAGCAAAAGAGCTTTTCAAAATTGACTGTTCTTCTATAAGAGATTGCTGAATGTTTTAAGTTCTTAAACTCCATGAGTTTTTTTGTGAACATGGACATAAGTAGCATTACTGAGTCTGGAAATGTGGTATTAAAGAAAGAAGATCCAGCTCGATTATTAGTTTTTAAATGTAAAATCCACTTTAAACTGATGAAGATATGATGGCAATAGTAGATTTGCACTTTCATCCTCAGAAAACATGTCTGTCACCGAGTTTTGACTGAGTTCTCTTTAATTGAGTTTGCATTCTTTTCCATGTAATTACTGGATAATAAGGCTTAGGGTCAAAAACATCTAAATACAAGTTAATTAAATTGGGGAAGTACCTAATACAAGGTATTAGGGACCCGGACTCTTGTACTTTCCCTGCACCGTTTTGTTTATTGTTCTATTTTTTGGATCCTAATCCTCACTACGTTCGGTTTATTGTGCACAATTTAAAAAAAGCCACAAAGTCAAAAGGTTAATGACCATAGCTGGTTAACTAGCAGCAGCAGTTTGTTAGGTTGCTAAGCTATGTGGGCCACTTCTTTTTTGTTATGCTGTGGAGCAGGGGTCTTCAACTGGTGGACCGTGATCCAGATTTGAAACGAGTGAAATTGTAATTCTTTTACTGATTTTTTTTATCTTTAGTTGAAAAACCAGGCATTTCTTCATCTGTAGATAAATATTTTTGAAGATTTTTTTACAACCCCATTTCCAAAAAAGTTGGGACGCTGTGCAGAATGTAAATAAAATAGAATGCAATGATGTGCAAATCATTTAAACCATATTTTTAAAGGAAAATACTACAAAGACAACTTATCAAACGTTAAAACTGAGAAATGTTATTGTTTTTTGAACAATATATTCTCATTTTGAATTTGATGCCAACAACACATTCCAAGAAAGTTGGGACAGAGGCATGTTTACCACTGAGTTTCATCAGCTTCTTTTACCAACACTCTCTAAGCATTTGGGAAGTAAGGAGATCAATTGCTGTAGTTTTGAAAGTGATATATTTTCCCATTCTTGTTTGATACAGAATTTCAGCTGCTCAACAGTTTGGGGGCTCATTTGTCGTATTTTTTATTTCATAATGCACCAAATGTTTTCAGTGGAGTGACAGGTCTGGACTGCAGGCAGGTCAGTTTAGCACCCAGACTCTTTTAATACAGAGCAATACTGTTGTAATACATGCAGAATGTGGTTTGACATTGTCTTGCTGAAATAATCAAGGCCTTCCCTGAAAAAGACGTTGTCTGGAAGGCAGCATTTGTTGCCAAACATGTATATATCATACAAAATTAATGGTGCCTTCACAGATGTGTATGTCACCCATGTGCCATGTGCACTAATGCTCCCCTATACCATGAATCATTCACCATCATGAATACTGGCTTTTGAACTGTGCACTGATAACAAGCTGAGTGGTCTTTAACCCGGACGACACAGCGTTCATGATTTCCAAAAATAATTTCAAATGTTGATTTGTCGGACCACAGGACACTTTTCCACTTCACCTCAGTCCATTTTAAATGAGCTCGCGCCCAGAGAAGGTGGCAGCGTTTCTGGATCCTGTTTATATACAGTTTCTTCTTTGTGTTTTAGAGTTTTAACTTGCATTTGTGATGCAGCGGTGAACTGTTTTTCACAGGCCATGTCAGAAGTGTTTCTAAGCCCATGCAGTGATTTCCACTTGAGAATCATGTCTGTTTTTAATGCAGTGCTGCCTGAAGCCCAAAGATCATGGCCAGCAAGTATTGGCTTTTGGTCTCATCCCTTATGTACAGAGATTTCTTATTCTTAAATAGTTCCACTCTTTGATCGTGCAGTCTTTCACAGAGTGGTGAACCCGTCCTCATCTTTACTTCTGAAAGACTCAGCCTCTCTGGGATGCGCATTTTATACCCAGTCATGTTACTGACCTGTTGCCAATCAACCACCAGGCGTTTTTTTTAGCATTACACAACTTTACCAGCCTTTTGTTGCCCCGTCCCAACTTTTTTGGAACGTGTTGTTGGCAAAATGTTCAAAATGGGCAAATATTTTTCAATAAACAATACAATTTCTCAGTTTCAACATTTGATATGCTGTCTTTGTTCTATTTTCAATTAAATATAGGGTTTCAATGATTTGCACATCAGCATTTTATTTTTATTTACATTTTACATGTTTCTGGACCTTTACAAGTTTTAACACTCCTGCTGTAGATCATCTCACAAGCTGTAATGGACAGGAAATACCTCCGGTAACGACACAGATAACAAACTCGGACTTCCTGTCCCTTAACTCCTTTGATATGAGCTCTACTGATTGTATTTGATAGTGAACTCAGTGCTACAAAGAGAAGACATCGTGAGATGCATCTCTTAAGATGTCTGCTACTAAATTCATCCATATGATGGGTGTTTTAAAAAAGATCAAACTCCATAATTTGACTGGGGCAGCAATGTTTGTGGGAAGAACAGTGGATTTCACATCTTGTAATTCAGCATTCCTGGAATGCTCAGCAGTTTTGCTCATGTTGCAGTGCAAAAGAGTTTAAAGCATGTCTCAAAAGTCAATGAGAGGTCAGAGAAAGGATACAGACACAGAGGGGGGACAAATCAAAAGATAAAGTGAGTCAAGTGTCTTAGTAAGGTGCTAGATCTGCTTCAATGCACGTTGGCCTAGATTCTACAGCTTTGTGGAACTGTACTGGAGCGATGGAACACCATTCTTCCAAAAGATATTCCTTCCGTTGTTTTTTTTTTTTGTTGATGATTTTGATGGAGAACGCTGTATAACATTCCAGAGTCCATGTCCAAAATCTCCCACAAGTGTTCAGTTGGGGTGAGATTTGGTGAACATGAAGGCCACATGCTTTACACTATTTCCATACTAATCAAACCTTTCAGTGACCACTCCTGCCCTGTGGATAGGGACAGGAAAAGACTTTAAGATAGACATGTTATAGTGTTTCAGTGTTTAGTTATCAGTCAGAATAACTTTATATTCCTCTAAGACGACAAGTGGACCTGAACCATACTTACAAAACTTACCATCACAGCATAACAGAGCTACCAGACCCCCTCCCTGTACAGGTCAAGGATTCAGCTTTGTAATGTTATATTGGCGTATGCTGCACATGCACTCGCCCACTTGTGGAGAATAAGGCGAAGGAAGACTAATCTGACCATTTCACTATTTCCCACATCTCTGTAGACCAGCGCTGATGGTTTTTGCACCGTTGAACTCTCAAATCTGCATTTGTCTTTATAAGGAGGGGTTTATGCACTGCAGCCCTACTGTAATATCCCTTTCTATGTAGCTGTGGATGGACTGTTCTTGCTGACACCGTCTAAACAGGTCCTGCTCTGACATTCTCAGTCAACCGAGTCACCATGTCACGCTAATTCATGAACATAATTATCAGTGAATATGTGTTTCCAGCCCCAGTTACTGATGTTTTTCCTATAGATTTGAAAGCAGAGTCACTTCTCATGTTGAAACACTAGCTAGCCGTCAGCCATCTGTTCCCTAATGATGACCCCTCTTTTAAAGTCTTTTCCTCTTGCCATCTTGACCCAAAGTCAAGGTCATCTAGGCCTGTTCAATGTTTTTATACACGCCACGGTGCATGGTACAATATTAACTGCTTAATTGTATTATTATTTCAACTTTT